TAAGGTTTTATGTCATTTACCCAGAGGGTGTTGTTTATGTTACTGGTTTAGATATCTCATAAGTACATATATACATTGTACATGTGTTTATATCCACATTCCTTTCCCTCGTGATGAGCTGGTGTAAATAAATGTGTATATAGTTCAGTCCCCTGCCTGCCCTGGCCTGGTTCTGTAGGGACGGAGGGAAACTGTGCGCCCTGCAGTTCCCACCCCACAGCACACCTGCCAGCTAACAGTCCTCTTCAATTGGAGAAGGGGAGGATATACCCAAGTTACCTGGGCTACATCTGCATGCAGGGCAATTAGCAGAGGGACCAGTATTTCAAAGCCAGCCACAGTTACAACCACAGGCCAGTTGGATCCTCAGGTGGTCACATCCAGTCCAACCCTCTGCTCAAGGCAGGATCATCTCTATCTAAAACATTTCTATCACCTATTGCTAGACCCATTGAAAACAATCCCCATGCAGAACTACCAGGTACCATGACCAAATAAAAACACCCTTTAAGTCACCAACAGTAAAAGCAGGGAGGGCAGATGAAGGGCACTGTCCTGTCACAGTACTTGATGTGCTGCAAGGAGTTGAGTGTTATCTGAAAATACTCTCAAAAGAGTCAAGGAAGTGGACCATATCTCCTTCTACAGGAGGAGGATACCCTGTCCCCTAGCCCACACCATCTGCCCATGAATTGAGCCATTCCCCTCCTGGAAGAAGGCAGTGTTGCCTGCCAATTAAATGAATCCCTCCAGCAAAGGACCCTAGGTTAGGACCTGTCTCCAAGTCCAAAGTGAGCAAAAGTCCCCATGTATTCAACCCTTCCAATGTGGCTGTGCCTCCATCCTGCATCCCCTTCTCATGCTCTCTTATGGCCAGGGGAGATAAACTATTAGGAAAAAGATAAGGGGAGCATGGGACATTAGAAAAGAGGAAGGGGAAAGGAACAGAAGGAAAAAAGAGGGAGAAGGGTCGGGTTCATTGTGGGGACATTGAGCCCTTCTTTCTGAAGCTGAAGCTCCTAGGACTGGCCAAGTCTGCTGTGAATAAGGTTATAGGGCCCAGTTGCCCCAGTGCTGGAAGAGTCCCTTTATTTTAAAGTAGATTTAAATTAGACTGGGCATCTGCTACAGTCACCCCATGGGCCGTGGCTTTTCTAAAAGGCCCCTGCATTTGGAAATGCTCTGCACCCAGGTATCCTCCAGGCCTGGTCCTGTCTCCCGCAGGTGCCAATACAATAAGCAGGCCTGCAGCAGGCAGTGATGGGACAAGCTGCCCTGCGGGATGTCTCTCTCCCACTCCCCATTGTCAAGTCCTCCGTCTGACGGCCCTGAGGGTTTGCATTCCCCCTCCAAGTCTCTGATCCTCTCCTGAGCCCTTGGGAGGTGGTGTTATCTCCGCTCATGGTTGACTGGCTTTGAAAAACACCATATCACTGTTTGGCTCGTGCTGGGCCGGTACCTCAAGCTGCTTCCTCTGCTGATGGGAACAGCCTGACCTGGTAGGGAGGAAACAACTGAGTGCCCGTTCCTCCTTCCAGACGGTTGCATTATTTTTATCTGGCCGAATGAACTAGGTTGCTGGCTGAAGCCAAAAGAAACAAACCCACTATGAACCAGCAGCATCTATTTTTGTTCAACATGCTAACAGGACATAACCCTGAAGCCCCAGGACGCTTATTAGAATCACAGAAAATGAGAAATGAGGGTTGAAGGGACCTCAGGAGGTCACATCTAGTCCAAACCCCTGTGCAAAGCAGGACCAGCCCCAACTACAGCATCCCAGCCAGGCCTTAAAGAGCCTCTCTGTTGTGCTTTCTCCTTTCTATAGCCCCACTGATAGGGTAGGAATGTGTGGGGGGGGGGGGGGGGGGGGGGGGAGAAGGAGGGTGTATGAACTGACTCATTATTACATATTTTGGAGTTTTTTCCATCCTTGGAGGTTTTTAAGCCTTGGGTAAACAAAGCCTTGGCTGGGATGATGCACTTGGGGCTGGTCCTGCTTTGAGCAGGGGTTGGACTAGATGTGACCTGTGATTTTATGATTTTGTTGCAGAGGGGGTGGGACTTGCACCACTGCCACCTTCCTGGAAAAGAGGCAGGGTTGAAAGGGACATTGTGTCCTAAGGCCCACACATGACTACAACTTGCTCACACAGAAAGAACCTGCTGATCCCATCGATAGTCCAGGGACAGGGCTCTCGAACCAAAACCCTCTCCTCCCTGATGCAGGTACTTTGCAAGCCTAGCAAAGTGAGTTGTTTCCTGCAAATCAAGGCAAGAACCACAACCCTAGCCAGAAGAGAAAGGTCCCTTTCAGGCCACCCCAAAGGTTTGGCAGAGCTTGCTATAGGTTTGGCGGGCTGCTGCATTCAGACCTATAGGCAATAAACATTGGCTTGTCTTTGCAGGTGGTGCTTTGGCCCATCCATTCAGGTGCATGGGAGAGCTGGCTCTGCACCCCAAAAATTCCTAGGAGCATCGCTGTCAGCAACAAAATTTGGCCTTGCCGCCACGACAGCTCAGCACCACACCAGTGAGAATTTCTCCTCTGGGCTAGTCTCAGAGTCGCCATTCCCCAGGATGATACCACAAAACCATTTCCTTATATGCAGACATCCAGAGCACAAGCTTTCCAAACACCTTTTTTCACAAGAAATCTTAAGCCCCTTCATTTCCCATGAGAGGCTCGTGCCCTCCTGATCTCACACGGAGTACCTCCACGCACTTCTCAGATCTCACTACCTAACTCTGGGCTGCAGCAGAAATACAATGAAGACTGGCATCATGAATACTATATAAATACTTCCAGGCAAGGAAGGGGCTGCTTCTCTTCTGTGCTCTGTGGGTGGGAAAATGCCTTTTGCTTTAAATGGGAAAGTCAGTGGAAGAATTCCCCGGTTTCTTGCTGGCCTCTCTGCTGTATGCAAACCCCTGGGAAAAGCAGCTGAGCATAAATATAGGGGTATGAATTGTGAAAGTGTCACAGCAAACAACTTCAGTGCATGTGTGAATTGAAAGATACAGGCCAAAGGGGAGTGGTACTGTTCAGAGACGCAGGCCTAGTTTCCCCCTTCAATGTATACCACATTTACACTGTGCAGTATCACAAATGCAGCTGCAGTTAGGTCAGATTTATACTGAAACCAGCAGGAAAAGTATTACACATCCTCTGCACAAAAGGACCTGGGGGCATAGGGGACAAGAAGCTGAACAGGAGCCAGCAGTGTGCCCTTGGTGCCAAGAAGGCGAACGGCATCTGGGCTGCATCGGTAGGAGCGTTGCCGGCAGATGGAGGGCAGTGATTCTTCCCCTCTATTCAGCATCGGGGAGGCCACATCTGGAGTCCTGTGTCCAGCTGTTGGCCCCCCACTACAGACAGGTTGTGGACACATTGGAGAGAGTCCAGTGCAGGATCAAAGATGTTAGCAGTTCAGAAAGAGCCCAACACAGAGTGACAAAAATGAGTTGGGGGCCTGCAAGGCATGACTGATGAGTGAAGCCTGAATGAACTTGGATTATTGAGTCTGGAGACAGGAAGGCTGAGGGGAGATGTGATAACAGCCTTCAAGTACCTGAAGGGTGGTGATAGAGAGGATGGAGATGGGCTTTATTCCATGACCATAGTGGACAGGACTAGGAGCAGTGGCCTCAAGCTGGAGCAAGGGAAACTGAGGATGGAGATTAGGAAAAACTTTCTGACTCGGAGGGTGTTCAGGCACCTCAAGAAGTTTTGGAGTCTCCATCCCTGGAAATATCCAGAGCAAGTTGGACAGACACTTGTCTGCGATGGTTTGGTCAGGGTTGATCCAAACTTGAACAGATAACATCATGAGGTCCCTTCCAGCCTGATTTTCCTATGATTTGTATAGTTTTAGTAATAGGTTAGAGAAGGCCTGGTCTGGGATGGTTTATACAGGGATAACTTTGCTTCAGACAGGGGGGTGAACTAGATGCCCTCCAGAGACCCCTCCCAGCCCTACTTTTGCATGCTTCTATAATTAGGTTCGTGATTCTAACTCTTTTCACTCGGTCTGCAATTATCTTCCGTTGCTCCCAGCAGAAGTTATTTTTCTATCAGTTATTTAGTTTAAGCTCTTTTTGCTTCTCCCCACACTCTTAGGAAGGGCAGAAAGCTTGTCTGACAACTTTCTCACCCATACAGTTAGCCAAAGAAAATAGGGCCAATGCAGAATCAATGCATTTAATTGGAAGGGTGGTCTCATGGCCAAAATAAATTCAATTTGCAAACAATCTGGGTTCAGCGCCCACCTTTGCCATGGACCTGTTGTATGAGGTTGCTAATTTGGAGGCTTATCTCTTCACTGTCTCTGGGGTCCCCTCCAGCTCCATGACTTAGTTGCTTTGTGTCTGCAAAAGGGGAGACGTAGCCCTTCTTTACCTGGCATCTGAAGTTGTGAAGATGCATGAGTCCATGCAAAGCATTCGAATTCAGCTGTGCCACCTGCAGATACAGAGAACGAACTGTGCCTCTTACTTCAGCTCTGTACTGTTTGGTCTGCCTTTAATTGTATTTCATATTAGGCTTTATTTGAAGGTTTTAAATTAAACTTCTGCAGCTTGCTGAATGGGGCAGGGGCAGCCAGAGCTGTTCCACCTCTATTATTTGCTTGGTAGCAGCTGGCAGCCACTTTGCTCACAATTTATTATTATTTGCATTACGGATTCATTCGCACTATAAACAGGATTTGTATCGG